GATAGCAGTCAGGAGGCCAGCAGTTTGAGGGGCAAGAGTGAGCAAAAATGGATGCAGTTGGGTGGGTAGGTGCACAGGAAAGGCTTCATATGGAAGTTGTTGCTTGAGCTGTGAAGAGAGGAATTCTGTGGGAATGAGGAGAAAATACATTTCGGCATGGGGTATGGCTTATTTGATGGAATCACAGAGTGCAGGAGAGGGAGTAATGTCCAGTGTGTCTGGAAAGATGGGTCGGAGCCAGATTGTGAAGGGCTTTGGAAGTTAAACAAAGGAGTTTATATTTGATCTTAAAGGTAATAGGGAGCCCCTAGAGTTGATTGAGTAGGGCAGTTGTATGGTCATATTTAAGGAAAATTACTTGGTAAACATTCAGGGCTCTCTCCTTTCTGATTACAGCTAACCTTTCCAGCCTAGTTTCCTGAGCCCCATGTACACATTCTTGATTACAGTGCCACCCACCCACCTCTGCACTCATACAAGGTATCCTGTGGGACTGTGATGCATGCCCTCATTGTTTGTACCTGTGGACATCCTTCTCTTTCTTTGTGACTTAACTTGTTTGCTGTTTCTTCAGTGAAACTTTCCTTATTTCCTTGAATGTGTTCTCTCCCCGGTCAACATTTCCCAGAACTATGATCTTCAAACTTTTTTTGATCATATACCTCTATCAAGAATTTTTTTTCCTGGTATTTATGCTAAGGGTGGAGAATTGGAGAATTTTACTGATGGGCAGCTAGCTGCCCAGCTGCTTGTGTGGGTGATTGTTTCAGAGTTAGATTGTAATTCTCCAGAAAAGCTGACATTTGGATCTGAAGGAAAGAAGGTTGGGGACTTGCCCATTTGGAGGAGGGAATCAAATGAGGAAGTGTGAAGGGTAAGTGTGGTTGTGCTGGAAATAGTTTATATGATTGGCCACCTTGGCAGGATGGAATGCAGCCCATCTTCCTATCCTATCCAAATTGGTTGATCCCAATTTGGGAGTCATGCTGTGGCTTCCCAGGTGACTCCCATTTTGGAAACCACTGGTCTTTGTCTCAATATCTCCTTTGTGCTGTCATCTCATTTTCTACTTGTGTATAAATTGTATTTCCCGGCCCCATATTTGATTTAATTTGATTCATTGAAGGTTCTATAGTTTTTTATAGTCATATCTCTAGCACGTAGCATACTGCTTCGCATGTCATGAATGCTTTATAAATGTGTATTGACTTGCCCACTTCTTAGCCACAGAGCCCATTATGTATAGAGCGTAGAGAGCCACACACTCTAGAATAGCAATGAGTATGGCGAACCCTTTAGGTATGAACTTCAGTGAAGTGCTGTAGACACGGGGGTTTTGAAAAAGACCCAGTATAGTTAGTTGATTCACCTGCTAGAATAAAGAAGCCCTTGCTTATACTTGGCAGTAGTTACAAAAGGCAAGTTCAGGGAGTGCCAAAGCTGATGAGCTTGGAGCAGAAGAAGCAGAGAGAGGGAGTGATAAAAGGAAGAGAAGTGAAGAGGAAAGAGAGCACAAACAGCGAGTGATTGGAGAGAAGCAGGTCTAGAGGACAACGACAATGGGAAGCAGACTAAGTAGGGCAGATATGGTCAAATGGGAGGGCAGGGAGAAAGGAGCATTTAGGATGCATCTGTGTACAAGTTAATGGAAGTCATGTGAAAACATTGTATAGCTACGGATATTTATAGCAATGACTTTGAGTCTTCACCAAGAGAAAATGTGTTCAGTTTACTAAGGCAGGGAAGTTTTGGCTAGATTTCCATCAAGATATCTTTAAAGTTTGTTTTTTTGATGGTTAATATTTAATTAGCTCTCTCCTTTGCTTTTGCTCTCTCTCTCTATTTTATCTCTCTACTTCCTTGCTCTGGTATCCATCTCTCTCTATTCCCTTTCCTAAATTGTGCTTGTATAAATGAGGTATTCCTATATGTATTTGAAAATACTGCTAACAGTGGGGAAAAATGGTACTGAGATTTTCTTTGTATCTTCTCCAGTGCCTATCACATTATGCTGCACATTGGAAGCTGACAAATGTCAGTTGAATTATAACTAAATTATAACTGAATAATATTATAACTGCTTCTACTGTCAACTTTCTTTCTTTTCCCTTTCTTTGTTTCTCTGTACACACACACACACACACACACACACACACACACACACAAGTTTCTGTATGACAAGGATGAGAGTGAGCAAGAAAATGAGTCAGGTTGTTTGGGGAAACACACACACACACACAAATGATAAAAATAGTTTGCATGCTGAGAGCTCCATCTGGCTTGCATGAAATCTTTTTCTTATGCTGTTATTCTTTCCCAGTATACAACTGCCTCTTTATTTCTTATTGTAGATAGATATGGAATATAGAATTTGAGATTGTAATTTATGTAAATTCCATTAGACATCTGAAGAAAATAAGTTCAAAATGTTTTTAAAAAAATTTTACATAGGAGACACCTTTCTGTTTCAGTTTTGATTTGCAAGAATAAGCTCCATGTCTGTACTGACTGTCTACCAATGCTAGATATTTGATGAGTGCATATTTTCCTCTTAAATTCTCTAAACATTTATTATATACCTACTATGAGCTAGGCTCTTGGAACCCGGTAATTAAATGAGGCACAGTTTGATCTGGGCAAGGCAAAGCAGGCTACAAAGCATTTATTAAGCTCCAATTATGTGCCAGGCGCTATTACTGTTTGGGAATACAAAAAAAAAAAAAAAAGCAAAAAGAAGGATAGGCCCTGCTGCAAGGAGCTTATATTCTACTGGGGGAAGAAAAAACATAAAAGGAGGTTCTATCAGGAGGGGAGAAAATATATCCATGAGAAGGCATGATGCTTAAAGACTGGAGAGTCAGAAGCAGAGCTAGGAGGGGAATGAAGCATGGCTAATTTGGACCCATTTGTAAAATGGAGGGCCCTGGTTGGAACTCATCAGTGGGAGTTGGGGGTCTGTGATGAAAAGATTTTCATGGTATGAAGGCTCCAGGGGATCTTGAGGGAAGTTCCCGGTGTGAGAAAGTAGGTAAGTTATAGTGGTAAAGTCCAGGAGAGTCAGAAGCAGAGACAAGAGGGAACTGAAGCTAGTCCAGTATCAGAGATTGAAACCCAGGACTGAAATGTAATGAAATACGTATAGACCAGAAAATTCTGTAAAAGGAAATACTTGAAATAGGATTAAAAGGATATTATTTACTAAGAATTGATTCTGGTACCCTTTACTTCCACATTCATGAAGGCAGCAATTATGGGACAGAAAGAGGTCCTGATCTTAAGAAAATGAGAATTTCATCAAATCTTAGTAATACTGATCCTTGTAGACTGGATTTTTATGCCTCAGGCAACAAGGAAGTTAATCAGTGGTTCAATCCCTAGTTTTCAAAGTCAGCCAAATCCCTAGAATGGCTTCCTTATTTCCTTGAAAGGAAACTGAATCAATCCAAGCAAAGAAAATATTATTCCTACCACACAATCCTTGCCCTTAAAGATCTTATAGTATAATAATGGAGAGAAACATATTTACAAATAACTATAAGACAGTGAAATAAGTGCACAGGGGAGATCAAGATGAAGTACCATGAGAAATTCTAGGACAAAATAGTTTTTCATCAAGGAGAATCAGACAAGGCTCTACTAGGAAGTGTTACCTCTAATGTGGAAATATGTTTCTGTGATTACACATGTATACCTATATCAGATTGATTGCCGTCTTGGGGAGGGAGGAGGGAAGAAAAGGAGGGAGGAAAATTTAGAACTCAAAATCTTATAAAAATGAACATTGAAAACTATCTTTATATGTAATTTGAAAAAATAAAATACTATTTGCAAAAACAAAACAAGAAAAAAAAGAATAATGTCACCCGAGGTAGACCAAGGGGTGGAGGAGGCGTTGTAGTGATTTGAAAATTGGGCTGGGAAGCATCATGAGCAACGGCCCAGAAGGAGGTCAGAGAGGGAAAAGGGAAGAACGATCAAGTATAGGAGACAAAGAATGTTGTGTTTTGGACTGGAATATAGAATACGTGAAGGGGTACGTGCAGGATAAAGCCGTAGGATAAAGCTAGAAGGCTTGGTTGCAACCAAGTTGTTGAGGGTCTTGAATGCCAGGCTGAGGACCGTGTTTGATACAGTAAGCATTGGGAAGCACTGAATGTATTTGAGTGAGGGAATTACTCAATGAGACATGCATAAAGAACATGAACAGCATGAAGGGTGGAATGGAGTTAGGAGACCCTGAGAGGCAGGGGCACCAAGAAGGCAGCTCTTAAGGATAGTTCAGACAGGAGTCATGAAGACCCAAGTTTGTGTGGTAACGGTAGGAGTGGAAGGGATGGGCCTGATGTGAGAGAGATGATGGAGTCAAGAAGGGTTGACATTTCATGTGGGTGGTAAGGAAGAGGGAAGAGTCAAAGGTGATTCTGAAGTTTTTAATCTGTTTTTTGGTGGACTGCAGATGATGGTACTATCCACAGAAATAAGAAAGTTGTAATCAGGGACAGTTTCGTATTTAGGATCATGGATTTTAAAAAAAACTATTGGATTTCATTAGTGTAGGCAGTCCTTGCAGAGGAATTTCCTCCATCAATGTAGATGAGTACCTTGTCTGTAGCTTTTAAAGTATTTAAAGTATTGCCTGGGGCGATGAGAGGGTAAATGACTTTCACAGCTAATATGTAGCAGAGGTTCCTATTGAACCTCCAGGTCTTCCCGACTCCAAGGCCAGCTCTATGTCCACTGTGCCATTTTGTCTCTCAGAATCATAGATGCTTAATAAATACCTCTTGACTGATAGATTTTTAGGGGGATTTCAACAATTTAGTTGACTCCCTACATTTAACAGACGAATGAATTGAGGCCCAAAGAGGTTGTGACTTTCTTAGGTCACATTAGTAGTATTTGTAAGAGGCAAGATTTGAATCTATGTCCTCTGATGCTAAATGCAGTCATTTAATCATCAAATGTAATGTGTTTTTTTCTGTTTTTTTCTTTTTGAGAAGTTTCCACTCACCGACCACCTTCTCCCAATGAACCACCAGAGGAAGATAGTGTATTATTTAATAAACTGACATACTTAGGATGTATGAAAGTTTCTTCTCCTCGAAATGAAGTAGAAGCTTTACGAGCAATGGCAACCATGAAATCTTCAAGCCAGTTTCCTTTCCCTGTCACTCTCTATGTGCCAAATGTTCCAGAAGGCTCTGTAAGGTGAGTTCTAATTATTTCTCTACTCTTCAAGAAAGACATAAACTTTAGTTGAATTTTATTGATTTATTTATTTCTTTACTTTTAATTCAGTTTTATTTTTAGCTCCAAATTCTTTCTCTCTTACCTCCCCCTCTTCCACCTTGATAAAGTAAGAAACACAAAACTCGTTACAAACATGTATAGTTGAGCAAAACATATTGTCAGCATTAGCTATGTCAAAAAAATGCTTTTGAGTTATTTTTTAAAAAAATCCCATTTAAGACTGCCTTTGAATTCAGTTATTTTATTTGTGTATCTAAAATGAAGATCCAGGTTTATTTTAAACCAGGACCGCACAGCCTGCGGCCTGCCAAAGGATTTTGGGCGGCCCGTGAAAAATGTAGAGGAAAACATCCTCTACATAAATATAAATGGCCCATGGGCCACAGATTTTGCAGGCCTGTTTTAAACTCTTGCTTCCTGTTTGCCAAATATACCTACAAACAAATTGATAATTTATGAAATTATGAAATGGGGGCAGACATGCTAAATTCTGTGGGAAAGACCTTGGTGGCATCAGGAAATGGGGTGGCAATCACACTTTAATTAAACATGCAGGGTATGGAAGCAAAAAGCCCATAAAGGCAGAGACAAATGATGAAAAGTGATCCAGAGGAAGACAGTGGCAGCATGAGGGCAGGAAAGAGGATGGGGTTGGGGAGAGGCAGAGAGAATCACTCACATCACTATAGATTAGAATTGGGAGCTCTCAGCAGCATGGACCCAGTGGAAAAGAACTCAGGGGCAGGAGTTTGAGGTCTCATTTTTATTTATTTATTTTTTTTGAGGAACAGACCAACTCCTCTCTGTGCCATTTTGGGATTAGTTCATTAACATTCAAATCATCTTAGAGTTATCAGTAAAACTTCGAAGTCAAAGTTATCACCATCTTTTTGAGGTTCTGCTGTGGAGGTCTGGAATTTGCATATTACAGATCAGAACCTCGACAAACAGCCCCCAGATGGTTTCCCCTGATTCTGCACATATTACCAGGATGTGAATTTTAGTTAATATATGATACAATTCGTAAATTATGCTCCTTTGATCTTTGGGACGGTTTTTATGTGACTTCCAGGTTCCCCTTTGCAATCTTATTTCTGGCTATTGCCCCTTTATACTGGCTACTTATAAACTTATCATACGACTAGAATGGGAGGAGGTGGCCGGGGGACAGGAAGAAGACAGAATGTTAACACACGAAGGCTTTAATATCCAATTAGGTTTGGATGTTTAGGTGGAAAACAAAAGGAGACACTAGTTCTCTCCCTTCCCTCCCTTCTTTCTTTCCTTCCTTTGGAATTTCAAGGTGGGGAGAGTGGCTACTCCCAGACCATACTTTCCTTGATGTGATTTTCCCTTACACCAAGCCTCTGTTTTGTACTTTACTTTGGAGGCCAAGCTTCACTGAAGTGTTTACATTCTAAGCCACTTGAATCTCACAACCCTAGACTGATGGAATCATTTGTAAGTAAGGTCCTGAGTCAAATGTTTTCTTTGCTTCTGCTATTTAGGAGCTTATGAGTTATCTGAGTTAGGAGCTTTATGACTTATAAAATCAAAAGCATAAGATACATAACTCAATATGCTCAGCCCTTTGCTAGAAAGAAAAACCTCAGCATTTGGGATGGAGGGTTAAACTCCTGACCTGTTTTAGTTTTATCTTTACCAGGCTAGTCACTGGTGTCTTTCATTGCATTTTCTCCTGTACCAGTGAGTAGATGTAACAGATCACTTATGACCAGTATAGTTTGTAGGAGACAAAAAATTAGGAAATCAGAACAGATTAAAGAAATAGAACAAAGGGCTAACATTTGTGTAAGGTTATGAAGTTTGCCAGGCACTTTATATATAATATCTCATTTGGTGACATGGCTAGTAATTGCCCATGAAAGACAACAAGGGAGTTAAATCTTGTTGATCCCAAGGAGCAGCTATTGACAGTAACCTCAGTCCATTCCAGCCACTAGTTTTTATTATTAGGAAGTGGTGGCCTAGTTATTGTTGTTGTGGTTTTAATGTACCATCATGAGCTTCTGGGCTTTTATTTATAATTTATAAACTGCACATAGCTAATGGGATCAAAGTCCAGTTATTGAGCTTAAGCTTGAATTTATTTCAAAGCTCTTTTGAGCCCTGAATGGGATAAGCCCTTCTTGCTAATTGCAATCCTAAGGCAAGAAATGAGCAACAAAAAATAAATTTTGGGCTCTTCTGTCACCTTTGTTTTGCAGAATAATAAACCAATCCAGCAATGTGGAAATTGTGTCATTCCCAATCTACAAAATATTATTTTGTGCACGTGGCCACGATGGGACAACAGAAAGTGATTGCTTCGCATTCACAGAGAGTTCTCGTGGGACAGAAGACTTTCAGATACACATTTTCTCCTGTGAGATTCAAGAGGCAGTAAGTATCACGTATCCCAGCGATCTGCTATAGTCAGAAATTTAATTAAAATGATATTAATAGGACCTCCATCTGTATTAATTAGTGTTGGGACGGGACTGTACCTAGGCTTCATTCCTTATACTATGATGAGGAAACTCCCTGTAATGGTGCAGGTGGGCACCTTCTCTGCAACTTGCAGGCCTGGAGAGCTGCCTGGAGCAGGAGTTCTCTCACCTTGTGGTCCCAGGACCCCTTTCCACTCTTAAAAATTGAGGACTGCCCCACTCCAGCCAAATTACTTTTGTTTATATGGGTTGTGTCTGTTGATATTTACCATGTTATAAATTAAAACATGTTTAGTATTATTATGAAAATAATTTTGATCTCTCATAGCCCTGGAAAAGGTCTCAGGGACCCTCAGGATCATACTTTGAGAACTGCTGGCCTAGATCACTGAGAAGTTAAGTGACTCTCCTAGGATCACATGGCCGTTATGTGTTAGAAGAGAGACTTAAAATCCACGTCTTTACATCATAGTATCTATGTGCACAGATAGTATAACATAACATTAGGATGTGAATAGATTTCTTAAGAGGAAGTCATGATTTGTGGTAGCACAGAGCCACATGGAAAGAGCTGAGTCATAGGGAGTGCCTATCTTAGTGCAGAGTTAAAATAGTTTTGTTTAGCAGCATTAGAGGAAGGGAATAAGCATTTATATAGCGCCTACTACATGCCGGGTGTTGTGCTGAGCCCTTTTTCTATTTTTTAAACAAATACTATCTCCAATTCTTATAAAAATCCTGGGAGTTAGGTGCTATTATTATTCTCATTTTACAGATGAATAAACTTAGGCAAGCAGAGGTTAAAGTGACATGCCCAGGGTCACACAGCTGGTAAGTGCCTGAGGATAGATTCAGACTCAGGTTTTCCTGACTCTAGGCCAGTGCTGTACCCACTGCCAGCTGCTTGGTGCATTACAATTTAGCACCATGTTGTGGAGAAGTCAAACAGCGTGAAGTTTTTTTTTCTTAGATTTTTTTATACTGTCAAAAAAAAAAGAGTGTTATCTGCCATCATTCTTAATGGATTGTTAAAGATGAATGAAAAAAAATTCACGTAATAGCAGTTGTGCCCTGTATAAAATTGGGTAACCTTGGAATAGTGTTTATTTTACAGGTCTGTAGTTTTTGTTTTTATTTTGTTTTTAACCAGTGCTTATTTGTGAAGTGAGCTAACCAAAAGATTGATTTTTGCTCTGAGAAATTGAGTAATTAAATGTTCTTGCTTAATGCAAAGGATTTTCCAACTAGTAGCCAGTTTCCCCTACCAATCAATCAGCCATTCAATCAATAAATGTTTATTAAGGTCCTACTATGTTCCAGGCACTGTGCTAACTATTAGGGATACATAGAAAGGCGTAAAGCGTAAGTCAGCCCCTGCTCTCAAGGAGCTCACAGTTTGATGAGGGAAGACAGCATCTAACAGAAGCTGAAAGTGGAGAGGGGAGAAGGGAAGGCTATTTACTGGTGTGGGGATATGGTGAAGTCCTGCGCCAATGAGGGAAATGAGCTGAGGAGGTGAGTGATGTAGGTGATTTCATTTTGCAGAATGATGAGTTTCTGTGGGATCATGCAGCCCAGGAGAGCAGCTAGGTGGGGAATGAGGAGAATTCCCAGAGAGTCCTTCTAAAATGAGGGAGGATCATCATCGTCATAGACGGGAGGTCTCCAGTGGTTAGATGACTTGCCCAGCATCATATAGTCAGTATGTGTCAGAGGTAGGACTTGAACCCAGGTCTTCCTGGTTTTGAGGCTAGCTCACTGATCTTTATGCTATGATAACCTTAGTTTGATTTCTATTAAAAAGTTGTGGGGAGCAGTTATCAAAGGGGAAGGGTGGGGGACAGAGAGAACAGATAGAGGAC